CTACGTGACTGACACTTATATGGTGCATTAGAAATCTTACACCATTAGATTACTAGACTTTCTCAATCTTATGATTGTGTTGTTACTAACTAAGGTGAGACTATAAATAATGGATGACTGATATAACAGGATTAAAATGCAAAGTTACATTCTTTTACTCATTGTGAGCTATATTCAACATTACTTCAGTTTAAACTCAATATGATGATTATTTAGTGTAGTATTTTGTTTTGTTTTCCAGTGTGATAATTTATTTGACATAACATTAATCGAGTGTGGCGTTCAGGATATAATATTCTTGTATTAAATTAACAAGAACTATGCTCGGTATGACACGCAGCATGTGATTTTTTATATCTCCGAGTACTTTTCATATATGTGATTTCATCCTAATTAATAGTTGATATAGGTGTATAATCAATATATGAATGAGTGTATTTTCGATTAGAGTCGTAGTCGTGTTCCGGGTTTAATAGATCTTCACTCGTACTAGTCTTAGTGTTTTTACTTTGCGCCGTGCTAATTATAGTGGTTCCTCATTTTACAAGTAAAAGTAATAATCAATTCCGACATAAAAATTAGCGACGATCAGACATAACAATTAATAACGCAATCATAACAATGTCCTTTGAACGAATCTTATGTGGCCTTGAGAAACTTCAGCCAATCAGAAAACAGTCAGTATAGGGTAAAAATGTATCATACAAAATTAAAAAATTAGAGTGGATATACTTCTCTAAAGACTTTTCAAGGTTAGAAAGAGGCTCTGCAGTTCTGAAATTATAATATATACGGTACAGGAACTAATCCATATGACTGCATCATAATCGACCTCTGGAGCCATGGTGAGGTCGCGAATATTCTTTTAACCTCCACATCGCTTCTATATTAGCGGTGTGTACTCCCATTGTGGTAAATACAAAACGTGGCTTGTGAACGACGATATGATGCACGTAACTATGTCTAGGTAGGCATCGATATGCTCTCCAGTCATTCGTGTATATTGTGGTATCCGGTTGCACATACTCTCGTATAATTGGTATCATCTTTATATCCTGTCGGTTTCTTACGCCCTAAAAGCATCCCTTTGAGATAACCAATCATATAGACTAAGAACCTGCTAAGTATACTTAAGGAAGTGCTACTTACCCAGTCTGCTCTAACACTTCAATCTCGACTGTTTCGTCGATTTCTACGATTCCCCTGATTTCTCAAAATGACTGATTTAAACTTGTCATTTTCATGGAACATATATATCAACAGTATTCGTGCTATTGAACTGCCGAAGCTTCAGTAGCATGTGCAAATTTTGCTTTTATTATCTAGTTTACAACAATTATCATAATCTGTCTTAGTGTCAATCGGGATCGAGTGAAAAACGTCCCCGTTCTGGCAGACTTTCCCTCCAATATTTATTACATCGAAGTACAACATCGTTACGATAGTCTGCACATTGTCCAGTAGAATTTTGAACACCGCTTCTCAGTAATCCCGTCTGTTATAACCGCTCAACTACAGCTTCCTTTAAATCAGCAGTAAACTGATCTATGTGACACTGAAATCATTCAATCGCTTCTGATTGACTCGTCCATAAATTATAGACGCCCTAATTGATGTCTATTGCTTTCATTATTTAGTGCTTGTACATTCTATATGGCTATTGGGTCATTAGCTCACTTTTCTTTTTGTCTGTTTTCCTTCGAAAATCTCGCAATCCCCCAGCACACAAGGTACTTTTAGGTTGAACGCAAACCTACGAAAAGGATAAACACAACATTTATTCCTATTAACGTTTCTCCTGTTAACCAATAAATAAACGCTAACATCCATTAATTTGATTGTCTTTTCTTGAAATATAAAGGCTGTCTTGCAAATTCTGAACTTCTCTTTTTATTCGTTTATCGATTAGATCCGTCCTCGTATTAATAGTATTCCCCAACTTTAATATTTCAGAGCCTAATTTGTACAAATTACAATAAGTTTAGTTTCAGAAATAATGCGGTAAGAAAACGAATACGGGAAAAGAGAATGGAACCTTTGATTATTTATTGGTGAACCTTCTTATCTACCTAAAACCTACTGCAAACAATTTACGTTTTATTTGGATTTAAAAATCAGTCAAATAGTGAACATAGCAAATTTAGCTGAAATATCGAGTCTTCAATAAAGAACTGTAACCACACTCCTACTTGGCGTTGAAACTTCTATTATTATGTTTCGACCTATGTATTTAAAGGAAGTCATTGTCACGAGTCTAGGGTGTTTCATTTTTAAAGCTAATCCATATAATTTTCTGAATATAAATTTAATAAATGTTCCTATGAACTTCGTTCACTTAGAAGTGGTAAAAACTATCATTTAGGTATAGTTCATCTTAAAAGTATTAGTCAAACAAAATCCAGGGACCCAACTACACTTGAGAAAATACGTTTCTTCACAGTATAAATTAGCCGAATCTTTTGTTTCGACACATGGAATAAAAAATTAGAATCGCACATTTATCACAGACATTCCATTCATAAATAGCTATTCAAATCGAGACGTGTAAACAGTTTATTTCTTTACCAAATCAAGCGGTTCATGGATTTTATCTTCCTTGCATTGACTACGGGTAATAAACATTCCTTCCAAGACTGTTTTTCAATAAAAACGGAAAAGTATAGTTTGATGTCATTAAATACATTGGACCAATATTAAACTTAATATTTCTAATAGATTATATCTGCACGAAACAAAACACTAGATTAATATCATCAACTAAGAGAAGTCTGAATTCATCTAATATTAATGATCTGTTTCATGTTAATTAACCTATGGATTATTTATGTAGATGAAAAACAAAATTGTCAAAATAATTCCCGGAACGGGATTTGGACCTAAGGTATCTTGGTAGGAAATAACTTGTTTATAATGTGATTTTTCTATTTCACAATTCAATAGTTCATAAATTCCGGTGAAATATAGTGTTAAAATCTTCACAAAATCGTCCTTCTGTTCACTTCGAGTCTACAAAGTCATCGTGGTTTATATGCCTTTTAAAACTTAACTCTAGAACATAATCACCACACACCTTAAAATACAAAAGTTTATAACATTTTTACTTTAGTTAACGAGTTGGCAAATATAGAAATGTTTTACAAAGAAACGACTTGTATTTTAAACATAAACCAATTACAGTTCATAACAGTTCTATATTTAAAACATGTTCAGACCTTTCCCAACATAACGATTTCTCCATTTTTAATTTAATTTAGCTAATGACATAAGTTGATTCATACACTTTTACTAAAAGCATACAACTTATCATGAAGCTAAATACGGAAATTCGAACCAAGCTGCAATAGGTGTAGAGATATTTTCCTTTTATGTGTCTTTTATAAAAAACAGAAGGAGGCGACGAAGAAACTATTACTAAAGAACAATTCATTGTAATATTGTATATTTCGTGCTGAAAATTCTTTACTATAACCAAAACAAATGTCACTGAAGAAATTGACTTTTATTATTTTTAATGACTTTAATTTGAAAATCACTGGTCCCTATTCCTCTACTAACTATTATATTAAAGGTACTTTCCACAATACACTAAGTAAAAACATAAAACAACGAGAATGGCAAAAGAAAAAATTCTATACAGCAACAACTAATAAACAGTTGAGATTTACCCATGTTTATTATTAACATTATTGCTTTCATTACTAATTTACACAATTATTTCAATAACAAACAAACAAACAAACTAAAGAACACAACTTATCTGTACATTAAATAAAAACAAATAATTGATCATCATAGTTAATATGGATGAAAACTATACTAACAATTGTAACAATGAATATTGCTTATTGAAATGAACAAAACAAAACAAAACATTTTCCCTAATATCTTTCTTGTTTTACATTAATATACATTACAAATAAAAAATATAGATTAGTTGGAGAGATTATTTCATATGATAATTAGTTTTTGTTTCAGAAGAATGAATATTTCCAAAAAAAGGAATTAGTTAGTTAACATTTATGAATTAATTAAAAGTAAAAAATAAACGAGACATGAAAATTGAAATGATAATGATTATAGTGATTAGGGAAGGCATTGAAAAAATCTCAACATTTAAACAATACAATTCAATGTAGGAGATTCATCAAAGTAAAATTTGTTAAGTTACATAATAGGTTGTGATTATATAACAATTATTATTATTAGTATAATAATTGGTGAACTTTGGCAATTGAAAAATAATCTTTTGAGATCAAGAAGGAGAATGAAAAAAGGAAGAGAAACAGTAATGAGGAATGTACACATGTATGTGTTTCTCTACTTCTTACTTAGAATCCATTAGATTCAAAAACAGACAAACATGTATTGAACAGCAGTCTATAATAAGTAGTGCTGGTTGTTTGCTGAGCAACAGAGAACAGGGGTAAACACATATAGTTCCTGTGTAAAAATAAAATAGTTGGAAGGAAACAAACAATGGAATACAGTAAACAAGAAAGTGTTGATGAATGGTGACTCAGTTTAAAAAACGAAACAGTGACAAAACAAACCAACAAAATAACCGCCATAACAATTACAATGATATAGGTAAAAAATAAGTTAATTTTGATAGTATTGCAAAATAAATTATTTACGTTAATCAATAATAAAGAATTTTCTTCTAATCGCATTAGTAGTAGTGACAATCATAGTAGTACAATTCATGTAATCTGAAAAATGTGCAACATTAACAATGAAAAAAAGACACATGTATGGTCTGATTGAGTAAAGACAATGGAACTATCTTTTTGGTAACATTTTGTTTTCCCCTTTCCCTCCCCTACCAACATACACACTCGTTTTCTCCCAAATAAATGAATTAGGGAACCAGAAAGTAAATATTATCCGTACACATTGAATTGATAAAGTGAAGAGAATAAGTCACATTGAGCATTTTATTTCTTGTTAGTAATGATTTTGCAAACTGTACAGTTATATATATATATATATATATATATATATATGTACGTGTACATGTAACATTTTCCAGATAATTGAGGATAAGATGAACAAATAAATAGTACGAACTGTAGTATATATATTATGATGAGGAATGGAAATACCGGATATGAAAGATAATCATACAATTTATGCGTAAGTTTTTCTCTTTGTTCACTTTACTCTTAATTATACATAATACCAGTGGAATTTTTCTTATTCATAATCTACACACATGCAAAAATAGTTAATTTTGTTTACAAACAATTGACTAATATGAATATAATCACATTAATCCCCTTTTTCACATTAGCGAAAAGAAATGAAAATAATATGAATTGGGTTTCATCAACAGGGAGAAATTTTCTTTTTTGTTCTTTTTTGGATTGACTGATTGGTTGTGGAAAATATATATATGTTTAATAATTATAAAGATCATTTTATGACCTATATTTGTGTATGTGTGTGTGTATTGGTAATACAAATATCACAGTATAACACAATAAATGATAACTCAATTTAAGTTTATTTATTATTGAAAAACTTTATTAGATGTTGAGGCAGATGAATCCCAATCATTTGAATGACATAGTGGTATTTGATTAATCGATGTATTTTCTTTCACTTCAACCTGAAATTTCAAGGTGAATAACAATAAGGACCCTTTCACATGATAGAAAATTTATTTCTAACACATAATAAGTAAATGCGTATGGATAGCACATATGAATACTAAATATGAACTAATATTGTCTACATAACATGAATGTTATCTGTATAAAGATGACGAATTATGAAATGATAAATTTTAGTCAATTGAAAAAGTAGTGTACTATCAAATTATATAGTTAAAATTATATTGAAATTTGAAAAAGTGACAAGTTTCTTCAATATTTACACAAACAGATATGCAGTAGTTTGACTATAAGCACTTCAACAATATCCACTATGATGAATTATTTCCAACCTCGTTGATACTAATTCACAATTAATTCTTACCGTTAAATGGTTTATTTAGTGGTTTTATTCGTTTCAATATCACCCTATTTTTATGGATTTATTCTTTGTAAATTACTTACTATTTGAACTGATACATTTTTCTGAAGACTTATACGTGATTTTATAAGTCTGATATTAAATATTGTTCAAATATAGCGTTATGTTAAATCGATACACCTATTAGATTGCATTTGGTTTTTATCATTTCAGCTGTGTATCAGCCAACTGGATTAAAAATTCCATATTCTTTACCTCACGGAACATCTCTATTGATATCGGTTAGCAAATATACCAATTGTCCACATATTTATTTCATTTTGAAATGAATTGACCGAACTGTAATGAATTAAGAATATTCTAAATTTATTTTTTTCTCATTCAAACTGAACAAATTACACCATATTGTGTTATACTCATGTCAGTCTTGAATAATTGCGAGAATATATGACGTTGAAACAATCACTAAAGTGCTGAGTGATAATTATAAATAAAATCACATAAATTAAACATTATTACATAAGAAATAACTTACAGGTCTTTGCCATGCCAAAAACAAGCCTTGCTGATCCACAATATGAATCGTATCACGACGAAAGACAAGATCAGTTACTCGATCCTTTAAGATTCGTGTACATACAAGTGGTTCAAGTATAGGTACATCACTGATTCGAGGGCACAGCGGAGAACCGAAAATACTAAAAAAAATTAGAAATGACATTTTAAAATCAACCGATAGCACAATAAATAAAGATGGTTTTTACAATAAACCGTTAATGGTCAACTCAAATGTGGAACTTATATTGAGAATGTAATGATAGTGGTACGTCATTTTAACGCCTAAGCTGGTAGAATTACTTAGTCCCAACGTAGAACCTAACTCCGCCTGGAGTCCCTCCGGAGGCTACTGCCGGTCCCAAGCTCGGATAAAGGAGTAGAGTTGGGCATGGGGTTAGCGTCCCCATCCCGTAGAAAACTAACTCGCTAAAAAAACGCTAACCAGAAAAAATTATTCAAACCTTTTAAACTCTGTCCTGGGAGTCAGAAGGTCTTCATTTAGAAGAATTATGACGCCTCATGATGAAAGCCGAATTCCTTCGGAAGTTACGAGGCCGATGCCCCTTCTGACAACCAGAGCGACCATTTATTTAGGTACATGGAATGTTCGTGCAATGTGGGACACCGGAAGAGCCTTCCAAATTGCTGCAGAAATGAGAAGATACAACCTAGAGGTACTTGGGATCAGTGAAACACATTGGACACAAGTTGGACAACAACGACTAACTACAGGAGAGCTCCTGTTATACTCCGGCCATGAAGAAGAAAATGCATCACATACACAAGGAGTTGCATTGATGCTGTCCAAACAAGCGCAAAATGAACTTATAGGATGGGAATCTCATGGACCAAGGATCATCAAAGCCTCGTTTAAAACAAAGAAAGAGGGCATTTCAATGAACATCATCCAATGCTATGCGCCTACCAACGACTACAATGAAGAAGTTAAAGATCGATTCTACAATAGGCTGCAGTCAATCGTCGAGAAGTGCCCAACAAAGGACCTGACCATTCTGATGGGAGATTTCAACGCCAAGGTTGGAACGGACAACATTGGATATGAAGACATCATGGGACGACACGGACTGGAAGAAACGAAAATGTTGAGCGATTTGCAAATCTATGTGCCTTCAATAAGCTGGTCATAGGCGGCACCATATTCCCACATAAACGCATACACAAAACCACATGGACTTCACCGGATCACTCCACACAAAACCAAATCGACCATATTTGCATCAACAAAACGTTCAGGAGGACTATAGAGGACGTGAGAACCAAGAGAGGAGCTGATATAGCATCAGATCATCACTTACTGGTCGCCAAGATGAAATTGAAACTCAAGAAGCACTGGACAACAGGGCAGACAGTATCACAAAAGTTCAATACGGCCTTTCTCCAGGATACTAACAAACTCAACAAATTCAAGATAGTCCTCAGCAATAGGTTCCAGGCCTTTCATGATGTACTCAATGGAGAAGGAACTACTGTAGAGAGCAACTGGAAGGGGATCAAAGAGGCAATCACTTCAACATGTCATGAGGTCCTGGGTCACAAGAAGCAACACCACAAGGAATGGATCACCGTTGATACACTGGATAAGACTCAAAAAAGAAGAAACAAGAAGGCAGCGATCAATACCAGCCGAACAAGAGCAGAAAAAGCCAAGGCACAAGCTGAATACACGGAAATAAACAGACAAGTGAAGAGGAGCATCAGAACCGACAAACGTAAATATGTGGAAGACTTAGCAACGACGGCGGAAAAGGCTGCAAGAGAAGGAAACATGAGACAACTGTATGACACGACGAAGAAACTCTCTGGAAATCGCCGCAAACCAGAATGACCAGTGAAAAGCAAGGAAGGCGAGGTAATCACCAACATTGAAGAACAACAAAACAGGTGGGTAGAACACGTCAAAGAACTCTTGAATCGACCAGCCTCACTGAACCCACCCAACATCGAAGCAGCACCCAGGGACCTACCAGTCAATGTTGGCCCACCAACAACTGAAGAAATCAGCATGGCCATCAGACAAATCAAGAGTGGCAAAGCAGCAGGACCGGACAACATTCCAGCAGAGGCACTAAAGGCAGACGTAGCGGCAGCTGCAAGGATACTCCACATTCTCTTCAATAAGATTTGGGATGAGGAACAAGTACCAACAGACTGGAAAGAAGGACATCTGATCAAAATACCGAAGAAAGGCGATCTCAGCAAGTGTGATAACTACAGGGGCATCACTCTTCTCTCAATACCGGGAAAAGTCTTCAACAGGGTATTGTTAAACAGGATGAAGGACTGCGTAGACGCCCAACTTCGTGACCAACAGGCAGGATTCCGTAAGGATAGATCGTGTACAGATCAAATCGCAACTCTACGGATCATTGTGGAACAATCAATTGAATGGAATTCATCACTCTACATCAACTTCATTGACTACGAAAAGGCATTTGACAGCGTGGACAGAACAAAACTATGGAAACTTCTTCGACACTACGGCGTGCCTCAGAAGATAGTTAATATCATACAAAACTCATATGATGGATTACACTGCAAAATTGTGCATAGAGGACAGTTGACAAAGTCGTTCGAAGTGAAGACCGGTGTTAGGCAAGGTTGCTTACTCTCACCCTTTCTCTTTCTCCTGGTGATCGACTGGATCATGAAGACGTCAACGTCTGAAGGGAAGCGCGGGATACAATCGACATCTAAGGTGCAGTTGGATGACCTAGACTTCGCAGACGATCTGGCCCTTCTATCTCAAACGCAACAACAGATGCAGGAGAAGACAAACAGCGTGGCAGCAGCCTCAGCAGCAGTAGGTCTCAACATACACAAAGGGAAAAGCAGGATTCTCCGATACAACACAGAATGCACCAATCCAATCACAATTGACGGAGAAGATTTGGAAGATGTAAAAACCTTTACGTATTTGGGCAGCATCATTGATGAACAGGGTGGATCTGATGCAGATGTGAAGGCGCGGATCGGCAAAGCAAGAGCAGCATATTTACAACTGAAGAACATCTGGAACTCAAAGCAACTGTCAACCAACACCAAGGTCAGGATTTTCAACACAAATGTCAAGACAGTTCTACCGTATGGGGCGGAAACCTGGAGAACTACGAAAGCCATCACCCAGAAGATACAAGTGTTTATTAACAGTTGTCTATGCAAAATACTTTGGATCCGTTGGCCAGACACTATTAGCAACAACCTATTGTGGGAGAGAACAAACCAGATCCCCGCGGATGAGGAAATCAGGAAGAAGTGCTGGAAGTGGATAGAACACACATTTAGGAAGGCACCCAACTGTGTCACAAGACAAGCCCTCACATGGAATCCTGAAGGTCAAAGGAAAAGAGGAAGACCAAAGAACACATTACGCCGAGAAATGGAGATAGACATGAGAAAAATGAACAATAATTGGATGGAACTAGAAAAGAAGGCCCAGGACAGAGTGGGTTGGAGAATGCTGGTCAGCGGCCTATGCTCCATTGGGAGTAACAGGTGTAAGTAAGTAAGTAACGTAGAACCTGGTACATATGCACATCCGTTCAAGTTTTCATAACCCATTAGCACAGAGAAATGAAATTGTTAGGCCAAATCTCGGAATAGTGGAGGTAGTAACAGTATCAGTGGTGATGAAACTAGGTATCAAAAATACTATACGACAGGAAAATATAAATTAGTGAAATAAAAGCGAAGAATGACGAGAAATCTATGATCTCAGAATCTGGGAAAAAAGAATAAATGCACCTGAGCCACTGCAAACGATATTGAGCTGTCATCCAGTCTACAACCATTGGTTACGATAATAGCGTGGACCCCAACCCGGTAGTCTATGTTGTGACTTTGAGTCTGGCTAGTTATCACGTGATTTATTCGCCAATCGAAATACGACTTATCCACTCTTACACTGTGCTAAACCAATAACTAGTATGGGGGTTGTGGAGATTATTACGTTTTTGATTGAGATCATGAACCGATTGATGTTAGACCACCACCTTTGGAAACCTGGAAGCACAGGACGGCCGTTTCGTCCTATTAAGGGACTCCTCAGCAGTGCGCATCCACTGCTGAGGAGTCCCTTAATAGGACGAAACGGCCGTCCTGTGCTTCCAGGTTTCCAAAGGTGGTGGTCTAACATCAATCGGTTCATAATCTCAATCATAAACCAATAACGTTCGACCGGTATGATCAGCCTAGTGTCTTTATTATTACTTTGTTCGCCTAGCCCGTCCAGTTGAGTCCAGAACACCAATAACAGCTTCCACTATGCGAATCACTTATTTCAAACACACTTCGTTTATATATCAACCAAACAGACCGCATCACACCATAAAATAGGAAATAACATTTATACACGATCAAGTCGAAATGTGGCTGTGAATGTGGGAGAGTGCAATCAATAAACTGAACATAACTTAAGAACAGTAAATCGTATAATAATAATAATCTATAGGTCAAAATGAAGCTTATAATAATAAGAATATGGGATATATAAGCTAGTTACTGAATAGGAATATATATATCGGAAGTTACTCGTAATTTAATCTTCACTAGGATATAATAGTCTACACTTATTAACATGGCTGTTTAATCATCTGTGACTTTATGGACTGACACCATGTTTTTGTTTGGCCGCCCCCAGCTTTCTTCTGGCCTACTCATACACAAGAAAGCATCGCCCGTTGAAGTAGGCGGTAGTTCGGCATACGTAACACATGTCCCAACCACCTAAGTGATGTGAACAGATAAACATAGAGGCCAGGACAAACAACGGAGGCTATTTTTGGGGACGTTATTTCACTTAATTCAAAGTTGGTAGAATACTAATATTTAATTTTCTTTCTAGTTTACTGTATAAACCATGAGCTTTCGTTTGATGTATGATTCACTGACATACCCATTTCTGTTCCAAAGCTATTTTGATTTAAACTCAACCTTTTGTACTCTATTTTTCTTCCCCAATGCCCAGTTCGGACGTAATTGTATTTTTTTTTTAATTTGATGTGTTGTGGTCGTGTTGGCCATCTATTTATTTATGTATCTTTTTACTTTAATCTGAGTGGAGAATCGGGAATCATGAATAAATTGAATGGTGCTCCAACTGACTCATCTTTTCTGTCGCTTGTCAACTAATCAGATGATAGAATAGTTTTTGTATCTCTGCCCAAGGCCGTCAATATCAGTTCGGACTCACGCATTTCTAGTCCCAAGGTTAAACCAGTTAGCCCGTCGTGTCAAGGCCTTGACCTAGATTGAGACAAGTTTTCTTCTGTATATTATTGGGTAGACAGATCAAGGATGTAATATTCAGTTAGAGATTTGCTGCCATATCAATCGATTAGTCATCCTTACTTAATGCCCTATTCCTACTTTAGGCATTGTTTACTCCGAAGTCCCAAAATACACGGGCAATACTTCGCAGACACCTACGATCGAATATTAGTAAATAAAAGGCACTTTAACAAATCTTACGGTATCGCAGCTCAACAAACAGATGACGGTAGTTGGCTGCTGCAAATAACCATTTGTTCCCAGCAAGCACTAACTTAAAGTATAGAGACATCGTCTAACATGCAAACCCTCACAGTCAACTCAACGATGGACATGAACACACCATATTGTCATCAACTAGTGCAGTACAAACTCGATAAAAGATTCCAGCTTATTTTTGAGATGCTAAAAATCTGATAATGTTCTAGTGTGAGAACAGTTTATCTAAATTTTACTGGACGCAGAAAGCCACAGTAAGAAAATCTATAAGAGTTAACTTTATCGGTGAAGGTCGGGAATATATTTCAGAAACAATTAGCTAATCCGTAAGTCAAATACGAAAAAGATATTTACACTGAGGTGACGTGGCACGATAGGAGAACACCTGTGTAAACAGCAATACTATTAATCAGAAACCAAAATCAAAATGCGAAGATACACTGAAATGATGAGCTTGTGTCACGTTTTACTTTGCATATCATTGACTGAATGAAAGGATTACTTATGAAAAACTCTTAAGGTGTATACGTAAGCTATTGCAATCACGATAAATGACAGGGTAATTTAAGGAATCAAGATTGCTTATAAAATTTTATAATTATGAATTTCCACCAATGTCACATAAAAATCGAAAAATTACTAAATAAATGTATTTAGTGTCAGGAGCTTTCATCATATTAGGCCTTGTTATGAAGTCAGCGACTGATAAGTATTTAATTCTAAAAATTGTGCTCTGAATATATTTCCACTGACGTTTCTAAGTAAGAGTTTTCCAAGTCTTTTTAATTAACTACACTGTGAGTGTGTTTCGGTGATGCTGCGCGGTTGTCCAAACCAAAGTGGCTGGAGTGGGGTTCGAGCCTGAAACTCAAACTCCTTAACCACCAAGTCATCACTCTGACTATGTGTAGACTCAAATTACATTTTTCTTACCGACAAAAAGGTAGTAATAACAACAGACAGACTACGAGGGCCAACCAGAAAATAAATGAAACAAAAACTATCAAGTACCATTGAGGCTTTATTAGACCATAGTCTGAATTTTATGCTTAAAAATTGTCTAAATTCAATGGGATTCTAACTTGTCTGTTTTTCCAATTATACAAGTGTTCATCCGAAAACAGCCTTGAAAAATACTGATTTTAAAACCTAGTGTGAAAGTAGTCAGAAAACATACTTATGTTCAGCTATTGATAACATCCATCTAACTTCACTTAAACGACTCAGGTTACAAGCTTTAAGTGAATTAGTTGCAGATCCATTAAACTTTTCTGAATTACCAAGACGAGGAAACCGAACACTTGTACTAATTCGATTACTTGAATTTGAATTTGACCAGTGGAAACCACGAAGTGGGAAAATGGATTTGGATTTATCGGATCCGCTACTGTTTGTCCCGTTCGACGAAGGACCAGATGAAGGTATGGGACTGGCAACATTCTTGCGTTTATTCAAGAAACGGCTATCACTCAATTTGACTGGAGGTCGGGTGGAGTGAATATGTGGAGAAGAAACAGTTGAAGAAGTAGATGAGCCATTTCCTGACTGTGGAGATGGTAAAGTTGTAGATGTATTACAGCTCAAAACAGAACTAGACGTCATATTCAAAACAGAAGAGTTTGTTATATGAGGAAAAGTAGTATCACAGGTAAGATTCCCGAAGCTGTTGTCTGAATTTTTTATTGCTGAACGAATAAATGCAACTCCTTGACGAATTATATCATCTGTCAGATCCCATAAACACAACATAGTGTCATGCCCAACTGAGCCAAGACTAAAAATTAAGAATACAAAACATTTACACAAAAGTTAGGAAAATAATGTGACAAAAACTGGACTAAACTGTTGAAGTAGTTTTATGGGTGCTCATAGGAATTATTTCAGGCACTTTACATAGCATTACAATACTTAATTGGTAAGCTTACACCGTAAGTAACAGCAATCCAAGTCAATTGTCGGCTAAGAAATAAACATGGAATCACTCACAACGATTTCATACTTTCCAGTAACGCTCACAAGTTACAAGACTGTTTACAGTAGTAATCACGAGATGAAACAATGGTCAAAAGCAACAACGATATGGAACTATTTGTACTGAGTTGCCTTTCAGCAGAAATGTTCACTAAAGACAACAAAACAAAAGTGTGACTTTTGAATCATCAGGCGTTGCAATCTCTATCGACAAGGCTCTATTTATAGTAACTGGTGAATGCAAGTGACTTAGACAGGCGAAAACGTAACCACGTGCTTCTACAAGTCCGAAAGTAAATCCACGATATTATTTGATACAAGACTGACAATATCAGTCAGTCAGTTAGTCATAGCTTAACGTAAAACGTAACGCATGTTCATCAGTTCAGTTTTTGATATCATATTAGCACAGAGATTTATTTATTTATTTTAACACATAGATATTGGTAAAAGGAGGCACCAAATACATATGCGCCACACAAATCTCATTCGATATGTGTGAGGGCTGTGATACTACCTGGGTGCCCAAACCGAAGCAGGTGGTTTTCTTAGGGGACCACTCCCCGAGCCTTCGACCTGAAGGTCTGATCAACAAGGCAGTGGAGCAAAGTCAGATTTTGCAGTCCCATTGTAACCGGCGGCCAACGATTGGTTCATACGCCATTTGGTCCCGCGGGATACTGGAGCCCATGTGCACCATTGATTTGGAATTCGGTTAAAGCGGCGGACATTCGCTTTTCGTCCTCTCACTTTCGTAAACAACACCCCCGCCACGAGAAGGCAGTGAGTAGGACTTCCCTGGCAGAGGTTATATACGCGTGGCCATGTGAGCGCATTTCGAGAGGAAGAGCGGACTCTCCTCACTCTCGGCCGTACCAGGGCATTTGGGGCCAGAGATTAAATTATTAAGAAAAAATCCTAGAATTGCAAAATTAGTAATAGAATCAATAGTAGTAGGAAAGGTTAGGCATGAAAAAGGTTGTAGGGAGACTTCGGGACTCAGGTTCTAAAGTAATACATAGAGTGAATACACCTGCGCCATTGCAAATGATTCTGAGCCATAGCAACAAAAGTGTATAACCATTGGCCCCTAACTTTCTCCCATCCCCAACACAAGACAGAATTACGCGTCGTGGTAATCGGTGTTCAGACATACGTAACATGTGGCCCATTCATCTCAGTCGATGAAGATTCACGACTTCATCAACTGATTTACCATCATTCCCTAATACCCTGCGTCTAACCTCACTATCACATACCCTGTGATCCTAGCAGATGCCAGCAATATTTCTAAGGCATCTGTGGTCAAATACTAGTGGCTTACAAATTTCTTCTACTCTTAATGGTCACGTCCCGACCGTTGTTGCTACCTTGACATGGTGGTCGGGCTTGCCTATCGTGATGAAGCGACCGAGCTATACTGGCTGGAACAACTGTTCCCCAAAGTCCTACCATGTCAGACAGGTCGGTTGAAGAGAGGTAAGACTAAGAGCAACAAACCCAAGGTCCGAAGGCGAAGTCGTACTGCTGACTGTACAGAGGTGTGACAGCAGTAAGGTGTTTTCTTCAGACAACCAGCATGACAGCGATGCTGCCTTCCCACAAGGAGGGGTGGGGTTAGAAAAGATCGACCCTGAAAATAAACACCCCACCTTATCCCACGGATATCCGTCTCCGGCGGTAAGGTTTCAACAAGTACGGAGCTGACACAAAAATTACTCATAGAAAGGTACCTCCAGAAGAACCCCTCCACGGTGTGAGCAACCGGTAAGTGATAACCGCCCTCATACCTCTAACAGCACTCAAGACCACTGTATTCCTAATCAACCACCGTCTTCAATTCCTATTATTCCTCCTACATCGACTTCCACTTCTAAGCTTCCTTTTTTGGCTTCCCTCTCAAGTGTCACCATAGCCAACGATTCTAGTGCTCAAAACATTGTCCTAGGTCTACTGAAACGTCGCTCCAAACTTCACATTGGAGCCTTCAACGTCGGTCAACAGGCTTTCTTGGCTAGAACCCTAGAATCTCGTACCATTGATGTATGCTGTACCTCTGAAACACGCATACAGGACCCCAGTGTGGTCATTCACTTGACCTCACCTCGGCAAAAAGGAGAACCAACGAGATACACCCTTCGTGTACCTGGTGACCCGACGGCTAGCTCTCGTGGACTGGCAGGAGTAGGGATAGCACTAAGCATAAGGGCTGAACAAAAACTGTTAGTGGATCCCCGTTAACAGTCGTTTATGTGCTGTTCGGCTAAACGGCTCCGTAAGAACTCGGAAAGATAGGGACACACGTCGTTGCCTTTTTGTCGTTTCTGCCTACGCTCCCACCGACTGCAGCTCAGATGAAGTGAAAGATGAATTTTACAGAAAGCTGTCAGAACTTCTTCAGAAAGCTAAACGCTCAGACATAGTACTCGTAGCAGGTGACTTTAATGCTCAGATAGGTAGTTTAAACCAAACAGAAAGGCATTTAGGTGGGCCTTTTAGTATTCTGGCACAGCGAACAGATAATGATGATCGTCTGCTGCAACTGTACTCAGACAATCGTTTATTTTTAGCAAACACAAATTTTAAGCATAAGGAGAGACATCGTCTAACATGGCGACCCCCTACACCAAACCAACGACGGACTCAAATAGACCAAATTGCCATCAGTCATCGTTTGAGAGGGTCGGTAGAAGGTTGTCGCTCATTCTGGAGTACCTGCTTGGACTCCGACCATGCCCTAATACGGGCACGCATCTGCTTGCGCCTCACTGGACGCAAAAAAGCCACACCAAAAAGACCCATTAGAACTCAATTGAGTAGCGAGAAAACCAAAAGTAAGTTCCAGGAATAACTGAGGTCGCACGCCATTTGTTCCTTCAAGATACTGAGGCCCATGTGCACCATTAGTTTGGAATCTGGGTTTTCCAACCCCCCTAGATGGACTCTCAGTGTCCACCAACCTAGTTAAAACGCCGGACATTCGCCCTTTCAAATTCGTGAACAACACCCCTGCCACGAGAAGGCAATAAGCAGGACTTCCCTAGCAGAGGCTATATACGCGTGGCCATGTGAGAGCATTTCGAGAGGGACAGCGAACTCTCCACTCTCAGCCGTACCAGGGCATTTGGGGGCAGTACAACTAAACATTTCTGACTGACTTTGATGACCATAACTCGATAAAAACACCTTTTCAGTATGTATTTACTTTGTACATAAAATATTAGGTGATGATAACATATATAAATACAATGTGCACATATGTCATACAAATGACTTCTGATGGACTATATATTGCTATCTTAACTTTTAGGGCAACTGAGTTGTATGACATTTTTTCACTGGTGGAAAAGATGAGTGCTTATCAGAAACTCAATATTATTAGATGTTCCAGTCTGATTATAATTAGTAGTCCGATTTTCAAGTAACGGATATTTGAGACATAGCTAGTCCAAGTTAAGCACAGACTGGGTAGAAAACTCCGCGACAAATACTGATTCAGTACACTTAAAGTTTGAAAATATTGATTGCACAAGATCAACAGCCCTCTTTCTATTTGTAATCTTCCCTATAATTCGGACACTGATATGTTAAGCATAATGCTGCAATGTTACGTACAGTTTCCAGTATTTAGGGACAAAAATAGACTTCATAACACTTGAGTAGGAGTGTCGCTAACGAGCAAATAGAATCCGATATAGTGTATTATCTTAAGCGATACTAATGGGATAATTGACAGTTACACACAGCATTCGAAGCAAAGCAAAAAGGATTGGCCTTTGAGTGGAAAACAAATATAAACCTTTGTTAGTACCCCGAGGTTTGAATTTTAACTTATAAGTAATTTGCCAAAATAGGTCTTCAAAACCATTATTCAAGAAAATAAAAATACCAAAATACTAGAAAAGACGTAACAAGAGAGCAACTAACCGGTAAGTTCTAAGGTCATTACTTTCACAAACTGTAACAGGTGAATTTCTAATAACTGAACTTTCGTCCAACTCTTCATGGTTCGTTGTAAGTGAGTGGGAACGTGAGGAGGCAGATACTGAGTCATCATTAGAAATATCATTATTAGTGGGGCATAGATATGGATCGAAGCGCACCATGCTAACCCAAGATTTGTGGCCCTGACAGCGACAAATAACAGCTCTGTCTAGAACTGACCAAATCGTTACTAGGTCATCTTGTCCCCCAGTGACAATAAATAAACTATCTGGAGACCAGTCTACACAAAGTAAACCACCAAAGTATGAACGCATGAACCCCTATAACAGAGAAAAACATCCAAAACAACCAATATTTTAAACAGCCAATTTCAACATAATGCTGTGAATTATAAGACTAAGAAAAAACTGGTAAATTTAATACACTGAAATCCTGTTACATTGTTTCATATTTAAAACCTCATAGTATTTGAAAATGAGTATATGCACTGCGACTGATCAGAACAAACATGCAACTGGTGAGTTTATTAGTTACTTACAAGTCCCTTCAAGTTTGGTGACGAAAGGCACAATAATCTATTAGATGTATGTGGTACGAATCTCGAGAGATATAATGAGCAATGTTTAAAACTAGATCCGGTTATTAGTACCAGTTTTCACACAGTTCAACAGGTAGGAATAGTTACCCAAACGACTCGAACAAGCACTAAATAGTTCTCATTTGGGTAAGGTAAATTCAACTGATTTAAATACATTTACATCCAAAGATTTAACAACTAATTTCCATTTAGCGTGTTACACCTTCCACTTGGAAGTTTTACCACACAGGACAAGCAGTTAAAGTACTACTAGCTCAATACATGTAGATTTTCAGTATCTATTAAAAAGGCCGAACTTCACGACTTTGCAATAAAACATACTCAATTACTGTTGAATTGTCACTTTACAAGATACAGAAAATTTCTCGTCATATGAGCTTAACGTATCTATGCTGTTTTCGATGATACTATAAACGCTCGTACATCTATCAAGTTAGATAACACAGACGTAAGCTAAAATCACTACTAAGAACATTGCATTCCATTTATTATATTCTTCAGTAGATGCTTGATACAGTCAGAAGGCTTTCCTGACCACAAACGATCAACTGTGACTAGTCTCACGAATTAAACTACAGTGTTCTATAGTGATAGGATTATCTTTGACGGGATAAACATTAATCATAATTTCGACCATAAATAAACGTCCTGATGGGTGAGTAGAAAGAATGAATTTGTTTGATTGTGACCCACAAATTCACATGACCTCTTGTGTAAGGATAAATGTTTGAATTTTTGAGATACTTTTTATTAAATTATTTGCTCATATCCATACTGTCACTGAGTCAAATAAACTGGGTGCTATAGAGATATATACTGTAAACTGAGCATAACCCCAATCAAAACCAGGAAATTCTTACTCTAGCGTGGGTGCAGTTCTGTAAGACAGAAAGATAGAACTCCTTTCTCAACGCTTTGAAAGACTGTGAATCTCTGATGAGTTTTTTTAATATGAATGCGGGATGATGTGATAAAACCAGTACAAAACAATACCTAGACTGTAAGAGTTCATCAAATTTATTTTTTAAAGCCACATCGCTCTTCATGGTTTGGTTGTCTTTTACTGAAGCCGATTTTCCACCTTATATAGAATATACTTGATCTTAAAACATCACTTTACGTCCTTATTTGGATCTACAACCAAATATTGGACGAAAATAGGACGAAAACTAATGCACAAAACATAGCCTAGAAGTATTTGTTCCATCCTGTCTCAATACATTTGTAAATCCCAATAGTGAATCATCACATTTCAAAGATGAGAAAGAAATGCGCTTTTAGTTGTTTAAAGATATTAAATAATGAGGCAACATGCAGTAAAAACTCACGTATAGCTCCATCTCATGATACTCCATCACCCTCATGTAACCATCTTCTGTAATGATGGCAAGGAAACGGCCACAAGGAGAAAATGCAAACTGATTGATGGAAACATTATTATCATCAAACAATGAGCTAATAGCTGATGAGTCGCAACTTAACGAATCGGTTTGCGTCTCACATATTTTGTTGGCAACGAATCCATTAACGTGGTCAGAAGTTTTCGACGGTGGTTTCGTGTTATCCAACTTTGATGTGTTAGGACTTCCCAAAGACCATCGATACAATGGGTTTCTTGTAGATTTCGTCTTACAGGTATGTACTGAAAACCCAATACCTTGTTTAAATAGGTTATATGTTGGAGCTGACAGCTGTGCAAGTGTTTCATCGTACAAATACATACACCCACTGGAATGACTGACTAAGAACTGGTGAGGTGAATGAGGAACCCAGCCGACACAAGTTACGGGAGTTTCATCGACAGACTTCTATGAAAGCATGAAATGTAGAAAACACACATACCCCTTCATTGAAAACTTTGTTTGGGTCTTCTTTGAGAGGATCAATCAACTTTATTTCACCATTGGCCAATCCAATCAATAACTGAGAGTCTCTTACTTTGTCTGTGGCACGTCTAAAGCAATGTGATGTTAAAGGTGCTCTGAATCTAAGATGGGCTGGAGAACCACCACAGAATCTGCGCTCGTTCGAAGAATGCGCGTGATCCTGTGTATATATGCGTATTTCATTTCCTACGTTAATGCAAAATATGCTGCCTAACAGAAGTTACAACCAGTAATTTTAAAAAGATCAACGAACCATCGATACTTGTGTCTGTTTGAAAATGAGGAGTCTCATTTTTGCAGTAGTATTCAAGAAAAGATAAGCGAATGGCAGCGTTACCGACGCCAAATTGATTCATTTGTATCTGCTTCTCCAGCACACATGGTTCGGACGTAAAAGATTGATATCGACCTTCTATTGCATCGAAAGAATGTGACATAGGCGGAGATAGACACAGGTTGATATACTACGACACGACACACCATATGAAAAAACCACGACAATCTCTTGCACCCATAGAATACTTCCAGCAATCCGCCAACCTATTCCATGTGACCTAGAGTTAGTCTGTCTTGTAACAACTTTAAACAGTGGGGTTTTGTTTCGTTTCAGAGACTTTTAATTAACTAGTAAGGTTGGAATATTTTAGTGAGCTTACATGCTTCTAAGAAATTCGACCTTTCGAAATAATGTAACTTTTGTGCCCAGTGTTGATTCAGATCCAGAATTGTGTAGTAAGGACAGAAGGCCTATGGCCTATGTTGTTCCTTTTGTAGTATGCTTCTATGAGTGTCTAATCTTCTCTTGAATGAGTCGATTGAAGGTGCGGACACTACTACTTTGGGTAATAGGCTCCAAGGATTAATGAATCGGTGTGAAAAACCGTATGCCACGGGTATTTTTTTTGTTATTGGCTTTTCTACTCGACTGCTATGCCCTCTGAGATATCCAGATCTAGTGAAAAGAAAAAGAGGGGATAGATCAGGTCCAACATTTTTTCTTAGTATCCTATATGCATCAAAATCAGATCACTTCTTAGTCTGTGACAGCACAGAGTAAGAGGTCCAGCTTTCCAAGCTGCTCTTTGTATGGCAAACATCGGAGTTCTGGAACTGCACGGATAGCTGCCCTTTGTACTTTTCCAAGGATATCCGAGTCACCTTTTAAACAGAGGTTTATAGTCTGAACTCAGTTTTCAAGCTTAGTCCCCACTAAGATTGTGTATACTATAGTGAACATTGTAGTATCTAACGTGGTGAAGGTTCAGCTTAAAGCCCATAGGGTTCCAAACCCCTTACCTGCAATCTCCCAACAGTGAACCATGGTCTTGAGATCATGACTCACTATCACCCCAAGATCCTTATGAGATCGGACTACGAGTACAGGCACTTCCTCTATGTTGCATCTATTTACCGTTGTATCCCTAAAGTGCATATAGACACACTTTGCCGCGTTGATAGGCGTTAACCACTCTTTAACCCAGCTAATCACAATATTTAAGTCTGCCTGAAGTACGCATGCATCTGTGTCTCCCATTATTTTTCGTCAGATTTTTACATCGTCAGCGTATAACAGCATTAGGAAATTAACTATACTAAACCATACAATACATGCAATATAAAAGGTAAAGGAACTAAGACAGAACCTTGAGGTACTCCATTAAGTGCTGGTCTCCAGGTGGAACACTTTCTGTCTAAGACCTACTAGAGAATCCTTAAACCATTTAAGGAGAGGTCCGGCAACGCCTAGATTGTCGAGCTTCAATGGCAGTTCATTTGTTAGCAGCTTGTCAAATGCTATGCTGAAGTCTATACAGACAACATCCACTGATTTTATATTGTCTAGCGCTTTTGTCCGTTGGTTCCTTGCTATAAGGAGGTTAGTCATGCAAAGGCAACCTTTTCTGAAACCATGTTATTCGCTGTTTAACAAGTTGTTGGTTTTCCACCAATGTAATTATGGTCTTTTTGACTATTCTTTCCAGTACATTACCTACGACACTGGTGAGGCTAATAGTTCTGTAGTTCGATAGAAGTTGCCCCGGTCCTGTTTTATTAATAGGAGTGAAGATTGTATCTTTCCAGTATGTAGGTAACACGACTTGGTCAACTGACATATTGAATATCGCAGTTAGTGGGGTCCTTAGCGTATCGAGGATGAGTGTGCAAATCACTGTGCGTAGGAAAAATTGAAAAGCACAAAAACGAGGAGGGAAATGGGTAGATGGTTCGGTAATATCACAATGAGCACTTAACTCTATTAGAGAAGACAACCGACAGCGATCACCACTAACGTAAGTCGTGTGAGAATGTGTTACGGACGGTATTTCAACAAATTCACATTTGTAATTTTATCATATCGATTAACTTATCGATTAAGTGTTTAAATATTTTAATGGAAGCCAATTGATGAACTTATCGATTAAATGATTAAATAGCAGTCAATTGGCAAACTTATCGATTAAATATTTGAATGCCTGTCGATTGATGAACTCAATGAGTAATGTTTAAAAACATTTTACTAGGACAATATCGATTATATATATATTCGTATATATACGTTTTAAATTGTGTTTGTGGGCTCGCTCGTTTTCTAGCTGTTTGCGGAATATATTTTCCATACCAAGCTTGGACTTCTCCTTCTAGGTAGCGGGGCTTGAACGCATCAATAGCTAGATTACTGGTCTTTGGTCACTGAGTCTTGTTCTCGTTCGCAGAGTAAGTGAACTCGTGAAGCTTCAAACCTAACAATTTGGCGACGGTGGTTTTGAAAACACGAATCCTTCTAAACTTGAATTATTACTCCAGCAGCAGATGAAACTTATTCAAATTTTGGCAGATGCAAAGCTTACGTTTAATTCTCAACCAAGCAGTTCTAATCCTACTACTACTGCACCATCAGTTGATGGTATTGCTAACAGTATCTCCGAGTTTCATTACGATCCAGAATCCAATGTCACGTTTGATATGTAGTTTCGACGTTACGAAGACTTATTGAAATTCGACTTTACTAATCAGGATGATGCTTAAAAAGTTGGGTCCTAGTGAACTAGACAGGTATTGCAACCTAATTCTGCCTCTAAACCCACGCGATCGTTCATTCTCGGACACTTTCCAGTCATTGAGCCAACAATTCAGAGACCACTCCTCACTATTCAACGCGCACTATCAATGTTTGAAGCTCACTATGAACGAAGATGATGATTTTCTCACACATATGGGTATCGTCAACCGAGAATGTGAACGCTTCCGGTTGAAGTCGCTTACTGAAGACCAATTTAAAGCACTCATTCTCATCTGCAGCCTTCAATCGCAAAAGTTCAGTGACATTAGAGCACGTTTGCTAAGTCGATTGGACCAAGACCCAAAACTAACTCTTAATGATATTGCAAACGAATATCAACGTCTAATCCATCTACAGCGTGATACTACAATGGTCCAGCGTGGTGGTTCAGGTTGTGCCGAAATTCATGTAGTCCAACAACCACCTAACTCTCATAAATCTGCCCCAGCGACATCTAGTTCAGGTCGACAGGCAAAAACAAATCCTCCTGCCCCATGCTGGCACTGCGGTGCATGGCATTTTGTTCGATACTGTCCATACAAGCAACATCGGTGCAGGAAATGTAATGCGGTGGGTCATAAAGATGGGTTTTGTCAAAAAAAGAAGCCGAGCAGCTCCAGAGGTACCAGAATACCTACGCCTGGACCCAACACCAATTCGTTGAGTTTAATAGCAAGATGTTAGAACTCAACTCCAGTTGAGAGGAAATTTATTATGCTTAATATTAATGGGCATCCGTTTAGCTTGCAAATAGACACTGCATCTGATGTAACAATTCTCTCACGAAAATATCGGATCAGAATGGGAAGGCCACGCATGGTGCCAACAACACAGAAACGTCGAACCGCATGCGGTAATTGCCTATGTTTGTTGGGACAACTAGATTGTAAAGTGTCTTTTCACGATTCGACGTTTACCAGGCTATGTTACATCACACCAGCTGATCTTAATCTACTTGAGTTAGATTGGTTTGGCCTGCTACATTTATCTGACGTTCCTTTGAGCACTGTATGCCATCTGGTGAAACAGCCTGATGAACCTGGAGCATATCCGAAAGAACTACTGACGGAGTTTTCAACCAGCGAACACCCTACGGCCGACGAAGATGCAGTTATTGCCTCCCTAATGACAGAGGACCACGTGCAGTATTACCTGACAACCGCTATTCGTGCTTTGACAGTCTCAGCAGCTGAAATACAATCTGCATCCAAGAACGATTCCATCATAAAGAGAGCGATGAAATATGTCACCAGTGGCTGGCCGCCAACTGGACTCGATGGTGACTTGAAGCATCTTTACCACCGTCGGGACTCATTATGTGTCGTAAACGAATGCTTGATGTTTGGAGATAGAGTAGTGGTGCCAGCGTCCTCAAGATCAAGGGTGCTATGCTTATGGGCCCCTCATGGACCAACATATTGTGGATTTAGTAGGCAAGTGCACACAGTGTCAGCAAGCAGCTAAGTGTAACGTGAAAGTACTGCCGGTCCCATGGCCACAGCCTGAGTATCCCTGGTCCAGGATACATGTCGATTTCGCAGGCCCAACTAATGGAATCACCTATTTAGTCGTTGTTCACGCCTTTTCGAAATGGCCAGAAATCGTTCCCGTCATGCCATCAACGACAACCCAAACAATGCAACTTTTGACAGAGATGTTCTCCCGCAACGGGTTACCGGATATAATCGCATCCGACAATGGTTCGCAATTCACTTCAAGTCAATTTCAAGAATTTTGCAAACGCCTATCGATCAAGCATTTCCGCTCTCCACCTTACCACCCACAGTCAAATGGACAAGCAGAAAGATTTGTGAATACATTCAAGAGAGCTCTAATGAAGTCGAAAGGGGAGGGGACGCCAGTAGAAACACTGCAGAATTTCTTGTTTGTTTACCGAACAACACCTAGTGATGTGCTACTACAGCAGAAGTCCCTGGCAGAGATCGTGATGGGAAGGAAATTGAGGACGATCCATAGTCTGGTGTGCCAAAGAACCAAACCACCACCATCTCAAACCAAATCTCAGAAGCTTCCAGCGTACGAGGTCTGATGCCCGGTGTTCGTTCGAGACTACAGAGCAAATCATGGTCCTTGGATCGAAGCACGTGTGGTTGGAAGACTAAACCAACTACGTAAGCGGATAGCCCCGGACCACCCATCAACAGGAGTAAATCTTCCCCTCGACACCTTGCTTGATACTTTCAACTTACCTGCAGCCCACCACAAGGGGCTCAACAGCAAGCTGATCCCCATCCCAGAAGGTGGCCACTCTGTCAGCGGCGAACTACAGTCAAGATGCAAGTCCACCCCAGAAAAGTGCGCTATTAAAAAGGGGAGGACTGTTGAGGACAGTATATCCCCAAAATTCACATTTGTAATTTTATCATATCGATTAACTTATCGATTAAGTGTTTAAATATTTTAATGGAAGCCAATTGATGAACTTATCGATTAAATGATTAAATAGCAGTCAATTGGCAAACTTATCGA